CTTTCCCCATGCTGCAAGCCATCCCGTCGTCCTAGGTCGAAGAGGGCGTTGCTCAAGATTCATGTAAACATTCATACAGCCATACAACCTGCATGCGTGCACACGCAACAGATGTATACTCTGACATCCAGGCTCGTGCATGTACGGATGACACCGTATTGCTGAATCTGACTTGCAGAAGTAAGTACCAGCCTGCAGCTGCTGAAGATGTCTCAACTCGTTGTAGTTCGAGCTGTGAAGAAATGGTGCGCAGGCTGTCCCAGACCATCTACAATCTGAAATACACGGAGGCCCGTGTTCCAGTCTGATTGACGACTTGCGATACTTCATGTCCGGAGTCGGACTTAAGTTCATGAGGCTCCAGTCAAGTTTTAGATCAATCTGTTCGAGCAGTCCGTTCCTTAGGTTCCACTGAACACCAAGGGCGACTAAGAATCCATCAGCGAGACCGCTGCCCTAAACCGACACATAACCCCCAAAGCAAGGTCACCAGACGTTTCGCATCCTGTGCTGAGCGGTAGGCACTCCGCCTTGACTACTTCACACAGCTGCAGAAGACTGTGATCACGTCCACGCCGGGACCCCGACGTAGGAGAGGACCTATCGGCATCGTCAATGCTCAGCGCAAAGCACAAAGCATAGACGGTTGCTGGGAATGGAAGCATGCAGAACATGAATGTGCCCGAGCCTAGGTCGGAGCGTGTGAAGGAGAAGTGGGTCAAGCGGGCATGTTGGACAGTTGATAAAGATCTGGCTTAGTTCAGCAGGCATTTCAGGAAATGTTTGAAGAAGCATGGCTGAGCCTGACTGTCTACCATGAACAACGGACCACTGATGCGCACGCACCTGCTGACATTCAGTCTCGAGTCTTCTTGAATGTACTCTCGTGTGAGAATCTTAGCCCTGTTGCGACGGCATTAGAATTCAAATCCTCACTAGGACACAACCCAGAAGACTCTCCACAGCCAGGTGAACAAGTTGCAGAAGATCATGCTGCAGCATTTCACAAATGTCACTGGCACAGACGGCGCTGATCGAGCAAACTGGCACTGCAGTACTGGCAGTCGTAGTAGTAGCGGTAGTAGGAGTAGTACCAGAAGTAGTGGTAGCGTAGTCGTCGACCTTGATCGATGCTGTGGCAGCGGCAGCAGCAATTGTATGTCACCGTGCTGTCTAAGGTCGGGAAGGGATGGTTCTCTATCCACGAGACAAACCCTGACACCTACCGACAGGCACACAAACTTCGGGGTTGTGTCCACCCAGTGTTGTCGGACGGCATTGTACCGGAAGGGGTTAGGTTAGGAGGTACAAACTTGAAAGTAGTTGTTCACGTTTTCCGGCCCACTTTGGGGTCCAATTTTCGGGTCTTCCCTAAGAGATTCTAATCAAGCAGACCCAGTTTCGAGGCCAATTTCTGGCCTCAAAATGGGCGCCCAAGCAAAGGTGAAAAACTGCACGAACTCTGCCCGGAAGACACGAAGTTGTCTCTTGTAAACCATCAAGATCACCATGCATTTGCCTGACAGGGCAAGATGCGGAAGCTGCTGTCTGTCATCCGCTTCGTGATGCAGGCTGCGGGCCGTGGGATGGGAAGTACAGCTCAAGCCGATGCGGAGCATTTTCCGAACTTCCTGGCTGAACGAGAAGTTCACAGTTCCGGGGATTGCGGCCTGCTGGTCTAAAGAGTTAAACGACTGGATGCCTGCATGCTGTTTAGAAGTTCAGGAGTTCTTGCTATGTGCATGTGGCCGTACGGGGTTTCTCAAGCATTTCCACTGATGTTTCAGCCGGCTGTCCAGAAGCCCATGCCTCTGAGGACACGCTGCGATACTTCGCCCTAGACTCCGTCGGTCACTACTGTGAGGGCCTGGAAAGGCACCTGATTGCTGCCTTGCGGCGGGAGCGGACAGGTTACTCCTGTAGGCCTTGTGACGGGGGGTTCTGGTTGTGCCTGCATTCCTGTCAGGTATTGCCCGGCCAGCGTAGATGTGCTACTGGGCCGCAAAAGCAAGCACCTCCAAGTCTACATATAGACATAACTCCGAATCACATGTAGGACTGATGACCCTATCCGACTACCTTCGATGGGCTCATGCTGGAGAGACATTAACACAGCATGTCGTGTGCGAACTTGATGTCCGAAACACTACTCCGGAGCCTGTCCGAATCCTCAACAGACACTAAACATGAAGAAGCCCCCAACCTCCCCAACCTCAATGGGGCAGAGGAAAACTGGCAACATCTGGCTCCGTGTAACCTACTCGAATCATATGGAAGCCTGATGCCTGCAATTTGGTCGTCATCCTGTTGATCGCGATTCTCGATTTTGTACCGTTATGCGCAATGCCGGGAGTGTACACACGTTTTCAAGGAAGGTGCCCACGTTTGTCACGATTGGGGAAGCAAGGAGAAAGAAGTTCAAAGTCCAAGGCCCTTCTGCAATGACTCTTCAGCGCAAGATCCGTCAATAGAGCACCACTGAATGCATGAAGCCGAAGAACAAGCTGGAGCCTTCCCCCACGTGTACCCCAGATCGTGCACTGAGGCAAGATCTTCTGCATGTGGAGTCCACCTTCGACCCACCCGATCCAGAGGCCGACAAAGCAGCCCCGCGCCTTTTCCACAAGGCTGGCGCAAGGGTCCGAGGATTCGGAGGAGGTGAGGCTTTCAGGACATTTTTGGGATATGGGTCTTGGTTGAGTGTGTGTCGAGCTTTCCATTGCACCCAGATCACTTCAGAAGCTGATGGAGAGAGTCGGTCTTCCCTAGACCAACCCCCGTAAGTGCAAGGAAGCCTCAACTAGTTGCGGCAGCCAATCCAAAGGCGGCGTGCTCCTACATGGAGGCGCAGAAGCACCTGCGAGCTCATACAGGTGCTTCGCACAGCATGCTGTGTCGCGTGCTCTCCCTGATCTTTGTTCCGGACTCTCTAGCGCTATGCTGGAGTGGGGGATCTAGGGCTCAGCTTCCGAAAATTCGCGGTTTGCATGCCACTGCAATCGAACTTTTTGCTTGCACGGGTACGGGTTCTGTCAGCACTGTGAGGGGAGTCTTGCTTCAGGCTTTGCACTAGACCGTCAGAGATGTCACCCCTCCCCAACTCGTTCTGGATCCCATCACCATTCACCACACCTGCGTCCACGCACTTTCGTCTGAAAGCCCAAATCCGGACGTGTCATTGCAAGGTGCCAGCGCCAGCATCTCAGCCCCCTTGCCGCCGGCAGCTGGCAGCACGGCGACCCCTCCAGGCCACATAAAAATGATTGTTTCCCGAGACCTGGTGCCACCGTGTGAGCTCGCTCTCCCGTCCTCTTGCTGCGTGCGCGCGTGTGCATTCATGTGTTGATTTGGTCCTTTCGTGTCCTTTCCCGGGGCCCAAGTAGCCCAGGATGCCAGCACACAGTGTTGGGAAGGCCCGACCCGAATTCCCACCCCGTAGCTCGAAACCTCAGAAGCCACGACCACAACGGACCGTTCTCTTCGAGTCATAAACAGAGCAGCAACCCATTCAACTATGGCAGAGGGAATGTTGTTGCTCATAGTAGAAAGTGAGTAAGCGAGACTACTTTGATTTTGACTTCAGTTGCCCCATAGGCATAGCCTTGCAAGCCGCAATGATAGCAATGCGAAGCAGTACTAGCTACTGGCAGCCACTGGCAGCAAGATTGTTGCAGGTACCACACTCATGCTACCAATGCAGCGGGTTGTGAGTTCGATGTGACAGTACACCCGATCGTAAGCCTGACAGGAGCAGAGTCCACTACCGACCAAATTGAGGGCATCAGCCGTGAGCCCTTGCCTCGTCAGGTATTGTAATACAATGACAATTAGCAGGTGAAACATGGGTGCAGTGTCTGAGTGATTCTATAGCAGCAGAAAAGAGCAGGCCTGTTCTTGGGTCCCTGTCAGAGTTGTCAGGCAGTTTGACATGATCTTCCGGAGTTTGATGATGAACATCAATTTGTTCGTTGCGCGAAGGGTTGATTTACAGGCTGCATGCTGCAAGCCTGTCTCGGGGAATGAGACATGGGACAATCAGAGGGTCAAAGTGATACAGCTTGAGTTGAGCCATTTGGTCTGATAAGGTGTCCCCGTGCAACCAACCTGGTAACTTCTGTTCGAATGCTGTCTGATTGTGCGGGTTCTGACTTGAAGCGGAGTTTCAACCGTGGACCAGGCTTGCCTGCTGAGTATGCTTTTCTGATGTATTTTCCGATGTTGTTTGCAGTCACGGTGTTTTGGGATGAAGTTGCACGTATGTCAAAACGTGGGGCTGCTGAAAGCCATCGTTGTTGTTACTAGATGGAGACATGTAGCAAGCAGATCCAGATGGGCGGCTCTGACAAGTTCAAGGAGCTTCTCCCCCGATTAGGTTGACTTCCCGTCGTGGTAACGGTCAGTTTGCAGACAACTGCTATGACGGCGACTGATGTTGTGCTCTCCATACAGCAGGTGTTAGTGGGGGTGCTTTCTGAAGCAGAGCTCTCCTTCAGCCTCCAGCCCACACTCGGAGGCCGAGCCAGGGGCTTTTCATCCTGGAGCTGAAGCACAGTCCGGCTCCAAGGGAGGACTCGCTGCTTCTGCAAGATCTGAGGAGAGATCGGGCGCAGTGTCAGCTGACCCCATCAGAACCCGAGTCTACAAGCGGTCATAAGCAGTTTTTCTTGCAGGACGGTGACATCAGCAGGAGTATCAGCCTTGCTACACGTGTATCCATTTGCGAAAGAGGCTCAGACCCTGGCATTGCAGCCGGCAACATTAGCGGCATTAGCGCTTAGCTGGCTCATCATAGCTGCCGCTACTTCTCAGTCTCAGGCTCAGCTCCCAACCCGACGACCCCAGTCTCTGAGCCTTAAGCGACAAAATCCCCCCCACACACCGCACAGCAGTCACAACCCTAATCATGGCCCACCCCCAGCCCCCGAAATGACCCGAAATTCTGTTTGCCCCCCGGCCCACCCGATGAGCCATTCGTCGAAGTCCCAGTGCCTTGGTGCTGAATGCTGCGTTTGCTGGGCCTCACTGGCGAGGCACCGCCGAAAAGCAATTCAATATCAGGATTTTCCCACGGGCGTGCCGATGTAGTCAGGAGTTTCTAAGCTGAGTGGGGCTGTGTCTCGCAAACAGCGAGAAATGTGCTACCACCACATTGTTTCGTTGTTTGCTTCTGAAACACTAAGCCCTAAGCCGTCCGCGCAGGAGCTGGTCTCTCTGGGCCCGGAGGATTTAGACCGCTTGGGCAACACCGTGAAGTCGGTGAAGCGCCCTGGGCCGCATCAAGGGCCCTTTGGTTTGGGGCGGCTCAGGGAAGCTTAAAAGATCGTGGGATGACGTCGATCTTGAGGGGCTCAGGGCTTGGGCTTAGGATTGAGGGTTCAGCCTTTACATCTTCAGGGATAAAGCTCGCGAGCTCGTGGTACCTCCAAGACCTACAACTGTTGATGCACACATACGTGTGCATACTTTACATAGACTACATACATATGTATATATATATATATATATATAGAATGCGAGACATATCTAAACTATATATATATATACACACACTGAGATACAGATATGTCTGGGTATGTATGCATAGCTGCTGTAAAGTCATGTAGGATTTTTTGCAGCAACATCTGATCACGAAACAGGTCGTCTGTGGATGTTTATACATAGGTATAGAAAAAGAAAAGACAGAGACAGAGAAAGACAAAATCAAGTGCGGGCATGCGCGCGGGGGGAGAGCTGACGCGACCCCTTCTGGCTGTGTGAAAGAAAGAGAAAAACAAGAGAGAGGGAGATCGAGAGAGAGAGAGAGAGAATGGAGCACCGCCGACCTGTTTCCAACGGGGAACGCCAAGAAGTCCCCAGTCGACTGTATGTAACTCTTTACTGTTGCAGCTTTTCACGGGGTACTATATTTCATGCGTGTGTCAACGTATAGCCAGAAGATACTCACATGTATGCTAATTATGTAGGTCAGTTTCTCATGTCAGCAAAATGCGAGTGGATGCTGGTGTAGCCTCACACAAGCCCCAACAAACAAGGGGTCTTTTCGCACATCTCCCAAGCCCAGAGGAAGAACAGAGGGAGAGAGCGGGATAACAGAGAGAGAGAGAGAGAGAGAGGGAGAGAGCACCATAACCCTGGCGAAAGAGAGAGAGAGAGAGAGAGAGAGAGAGAGAGAGAGAGAGAGAGAGAGAGAGAGAGAGAGAGAGCGAGAGCGAGCTCAGACGGGCGTCTCCAACGGGGCTCGCCCTCAAGTCTGGTGAAAGAATGGTATATTCCTATACATGTACATGTACTTACAAATATAAATATGAGTATATGCATATACTATATATACATATTGCGACCGATTGAGAGACTCGCCGCCGTGGCGCGAGCATAAGTCACACAGCATACAGAAATTGCCCGGTCCTGTTCTTCAAGCTGTTAATCTCTGCCATCTTGTTTGAAATCTCACCAATCCCGTGTGACCTCGCACACCAAAGCTCAGTAACTTGAAGCCCTGACAATGCTCTTGATATGATCCCTGCGCAGACTCTATCAAGCAAATTTCCTGGCTGGACGTAGGTCCGACCTCCATTACCAGCTTTAATGTCCCTGCAGTTTCCTGCAGGCAGCATCTGCACGCCCTGACGGGATATCCTCGATTCAGACTCCAGCTGACATGCGATGGCCGCATCTTCCGGAACGACGAGGTCTTTGCCTCCGCGGATTTGCCCGCCTTTCGGATTATCAACAGCTCTGGCTGGTAGTCTTCGGGTAAGATTGGAAATATAGGCCCTATACAACAACAGCACCGAAAAGATGAACAGAAACAGCCAACAGAATTCGCTGTTTTTGCGGTGCTAATGGTTCATCGTTTCAAGAGCACTACCATAGCGACAGGTTTTCAGGTTGGCACTTGCTTCATGCGTGCACTGGCAAATTCGGTGCGACGACTTACTGTGACGTTCCCCTTCAGGCGCCATGTACTGCTGCGGTAGAAACTCGGGCCTTGTGATGATTTGGTGCTAAAGTAACCTCGTAAGGCCAAGATAGACTGCGCATTATGTATAGCACAACGAATATATATATATATATATATATATATATATATATACATATCATATGTATATGTATATATATATATATATATATACATATTCAGTACCTATAGATGTACATCTGTATATATAGGCTGCTATAATGCAGATGTATGTAGATCTTCGCTTTTGGCCTAAGGCCGAGCTGACCTGCGTGAAACTGGGCTTTGCCTCGGAAAAGAGCGGCAAGGTGTTGCTGCTGGCTGCACGGACAGGAAATGCCTCTGCAGTGGAAACGCTCCTGCACAGGCCCATAGACCCGAATGCAGTCACAGATGAGCTGCGCCATACTCCTCTACATCTTGCCTGCAAGGGAGGCCACCTCGAAGTGGTGAGCCTGCTACTGGAGGCAGCGGGGGACACGGAGAAGTGCGAATGCAAGGGGAACACGGCGTTACACGAGGCTTGTGTCCTCAGGGACGTGGAGGTGGCACGACTGTTGCTTCAGGCACGAGCTGCGGTCAACAAGCGCGGCCTCTTCGGAAACACGCCTTTGCACTTGGCCTGCCAAGCAAAGCATCCTGACATGGCGAGTTTGCTGCTCGAGTTCCGGGCCGACAAGGCTGCCAGACATCATGATCTCTCAGTCGTTTTCTGGTGCAGGGGCTTCACCACGGCCAAGAAGATTATGATTTTCCTATCTTTCATAAGAGTATTACTGTATGCAGTTCCTGTTTTTGGCCGCAGCTCTGCAGGACGTCGTGAACTGCCACAACGACACGCCACTGCATGAGGCCTGTGCGGCTGGGCACACGGAGGTGGCGCGAGCCTTGATTGAGGCGCGCGCCGCCATTGACGTCGCTGGGAGGCGCCGGCTGATACTGTACGCCATGACATGGCACAGACCCATAGTCTCGTGTGAGCAAAGGGTTTGAACAGCACTGGTACAAACAAACACGCACACACACACACACACACACATGCACACTCACATGCAGACATTTGATCTCCCTCTCTCCATTTCTCTCGCGGTATGTTTTTATATGTTTATATTTGTATACATATACCTATATACAAATATACATTGGATATATTTAAAGGAGTGTGTCTATTATATGTACATGTATATACATACACGCATATATACATGTATATGTATATGTACAAATTCATCTAAACGCACACGCTCTAGATAGATAAGTATATACACACAGAGTATCTGACCATGTATTCATACGTGTCTACCAAGGCCAGGTATCACACATGCATAATTACATATATGCCTACATACATGCATACATGCATACCTTCGTACATACATGCACACCTTGCTTGCTTGCCTGCATGAGGGCATTCGTGCGTGCATGCGTGCGTGCACATTCTTACATGTATGGAGGCCGTCATGCCGTGAGCAAAATGAGTGGGTGTGGCTACCCAAATCTAGTCCACTCCAGCATCATCGATCAACTGGTCCAATCTACTCCATCCTAATCTATGTCGTATCTTAATCTAATCGAGCCTAATCTAGTCTAACCGAACGTAGTCTGGTCCGACTCTCATCTAACCCCTAGTGTCTCTGTCCATCATATACACATATATATATATGTATATACACATCCATCTAGGTGCCTTTCGTTCGTTCATGCTTACCTTCGACAGATACTGATTGACAGCGGACTGTCTGGCCGACGCTGTCCCCCCGTTGCAGGTTTGGTTTTACACCGCTACTGGCGGCCTGCATCTCCTCACAATTGCAGACAGGGGATGATATGAATCGTACATGTATATGTACACGTCAAAAAAGAGCTTGTCAGACTGCTTCTTTGAAGCCTGGCTTTTGCCATTCGCAGCAATGCACTATGTGGTGAAGCCTTACTTCATGTGGTTGATCGCCTCATGTCCCCTAAATCGGGGCCTAAGCCGTCGAGCCCGGCTTTAATTGAGTATTTCCGCATGAAGCTCGACAAGATGTAAAATATAAAGGGTGTCAAAGTATCCATCCTCAGGGCCAGCGTAGACAGGTGTATGAAGTCGCCAAGGTAAGCACGGCCGTCGTGAAGCAGCTCGGCTCCTCCTGGATGCTGGCGCAGATAAGGACAGAGTCTCGTGAGCAGGCAGCCAGGTCTAGAAGTATGTAGTATGTGGGTGGAGTTTCGGATGCAGGCGCGAGCCTTGTGAGAATATCTGGTTTGAGGGACTGCAGGTGGACCGTCATTTCCCAAGGCAGCTCTGTTGGTGCGATTTCTGCTTGGTGCGGCAGAAAATACTCAAGTATAGGCTTGGTCGATTATAGACGTTCCCCGAGTCCGTGGCAATACCTAGCAGACCCAGCACCGTTCGGAGTCGCTGATTACCAGAGTATGAAGTACCCGACATCACAGTGCTCGGAGCCGATGGCGCAGGACCGTCTGACGGCGGAAAACACGCCGTTGATCCACGCCTGTTCCGCTGGGCTGGTCGAGGAGAGCAGAGTTCTTTGCTCGTCGTCGCTCTGAAATGAGCCGGAACTGTGGCCTGTGGCCATCAGGATCAAGCTAGGGATCCGCGTCGAAGGTGTCACTTTGGAATAGCCTCAAGCTGCATTATCAGGAGTGAACCTGCAAATCCTAGCTTCGGCCGCTTCGATACCGAAGCCATCACAAGTGCACCGAAAGGATGACCAAGTCGCAGCAAATGCGCAATGGAAACTTGCGTGCCTGCTGTGTGCAGTGGTTTGCTCGGCCAGTCCGCATCGTCACAGCAACCGTTGCATGCGGAAAAGATGAAAGAGTGTCACAGCGTCTGTGCGGGACCCCAATTGCCACTGGAGGAGGCACGGCTGCTCATCAAAGCCAGAGCGGAGGTCAACAAGGCCGGCCGCTTTGGCTACACACCTTTGAGCTTTGGGCTGCAAGAAGCTCGTTCTGCGAGGGTGCAGACACCTTCAGTGTCGAGCAGGTATAGTCGGAGTCCTGAGAGCTACAGCAAAGACGCATCAAAGTTATGCCGCTGCGCTAAGTCTATGTGCTGCTGAGTTCTGCCGTGAACAGCAAGCTGGCTGCTGAGGTTTTTGGCTTGGAAGAGCCGCCACCCTGCGCTGGCGCAGCTTCTCATCGACGCCGGCGCAGACCTGGATCTGGCGCTGATGCAGATGCACGTCGGCTACGCCCGTGCACCGGGCCGTGAGCAGCGCAAGACCGGGTCTCCGCAAGGAGGGTGACCATAGCCGCCATAGCCATAGCCCTGCTATGTCCTACCTTTCGCAATCTCCAAGACGAATGCTCAATGAAGCCTCAAGATGTCCTCGAATCCGATGCTGTTGTTTGTAGAGACCTCCGGCTCTAGGTTCTAGACTCGAACTCACTTGCTAGTTTGCGGATGATCGCAGCGTCCAGAAAATCTGTGGCCGCTGGGCTTTGCTTTTTCTATAGTGGTTACATCAAGCAACCTGCAATGATAAGTGCAAGAAACCTGTAAATGGATGGCCAAGTAGCCTTGGCTTGGAGTCATCCGTGTCTGCAGGGCTGTTTGGTTGTTGCTGCCAAGAGACGAGAGCAAACCAAGCATGGCCGAGGTGACGACAAGCAAAATTTCATTTACTCATCAGATGGCATGCAGGCAGGATGTGCTTCTGGCTGTATCGGTGCCCAGGATCTCTAGGCCGACAGCAGGCAGAGCACAGCTGCTTGCCTGCGTACATCCACTGTCGATTTCGCGAACTGAATGCATTGCAAGAGATCTTCACTACACTGATCTCTTGGTCAGGTCATTGACGTGTGCAAGAAGGTCCTGGAGCAAGGGCTGGCATCTCAGCAGGGCATGTGTGTAGAATTTGTCAGTCAGTCTGTCTATGTATGTATGTATGTAGGTATGAATGAATGGCTATGCATGATTATGCATGCAACCATGCGTGCACAATTGCGTACTTACTGACTTACTTGCATACATATATCCGTATGCATATACATACCCACGTACATACATGGATGCATAAAAATGCATCTCTGCGAAATATCGTGCGTGTATGTGTACATGTCTATATACGTATGTTTACGCATTTGTCTACGTGTATGTCTATGTAGATAGATAGGTATAGCGTGTGTACGGGATAGTTGTTTTGACTGCTGACTTTTGTGCCTGGATTTTTTGTGCCTTGACTGCAGGATGTGCCTGTTGACCTGAGTGCCTTGACAAGGCTCCAGAGCCTGGCAGATGTTCCGCAGCTGGATGCATTGGTCTGGACCTTGCGGGGCTTGGAGGTTTAATTCAAGTCTGACCAATCGTTGATTGAGCCAAGCCCTGGGAATCCTCGCTGGAAGTTGCTGTCCACTCGGTCCACAAGCACAAAATTTCTGAGCTTCTTCGTTGTGAAAACCTGGCTGGTTCTTCAGTCAGGTGGTGCCACAGCTCTTCCGCACGGTGGTCCACAAGCAGGCTTATCCACACAGCGAAGCTTCATGAATTCCTTTACTCGCCCTTTTCAGTTGCATTACAGAGCTCTGCATGCTGATGGTCGATCACTAATGTAGTGCACACCCACCTGAGACACATTGGAAAAGTTTCGCTGACCGCAGCAGGTGCTAAGTACCGTGGATGCCACTGAACCATGGGTCTGCATCTGAGCCCATGCGATGCAGTTTTAAGAGGGGCGATTTCAGCGTTTTAGGGGCCACGCTTGGCTTCCAGGTTCAGGCATAAGTCCAAATCAACAGCACTTGTGCGCGAAATCCGAAAATTGCAGCCCCACCCACTCCACCCACCAATCAACTCTAAACTGTCACACCCGAAGCTCTGCCCCGAACGCCAGTCCTTGGACCATAAATTACCCCTCACTGTCGACCGTACATGACAGCAGCAGCCCCAAGCTAGTACGAAGCCTCGATCCTCGAATCCCTTCACCACTTTAGCCCAAACTCTGCTGCTGCATCCTCCGTCCAAAGGTCATGCAGAGACGGGATGTCCTGGTGGGGAAGCTGGAACGGACCTTGCCGGCTCTCTCTGAGCTGGGAATCTCAGGATTCAAGGGTGCGGGCCGGGGAGTAAGGTTTGAGGAGTTAGAGTGGACACTTTTACACCGTGGGCTTGCGTCGATTTTCTATCTCAACCGTGCAAGTCACTACTCTCCTCAAATCTAGTGTCGTGTATAATTCCAGCATAGCATGGTAGCACTTGCGTCGTCCAACGCTTGTGGCCAAGTCATGCGCTGTTTTTGTATGTAACCGTCGCTGTTACCGTACTTCCGACTGTCTGCCTGAACTGCAGCCACGGTGCTTCGCAACATTCGGCCGGTAATCCGCAGACATCCAGCTGTCAATGTCAATCTCAGAGTCTTTTGCAGGTTCCTGCAGCTTTTTGAGCCTTATGAAAGTTTGCTTCGCCCAGGCCTCAGCAGTCTTTGACAACATGAAGGGTCGATCACCGATAATCATTGCCAGCTCCTTGTAGTCCATCTGCCCAAGGACTGGATCCTGCCGAGTACGTAGCAATCCCAGCTGAAGTGCATGCAAGACTCGGCCTGCTTGTGGATCGTTGCTTTTGACAGTGTCAGGACAGCCCTCGATGGCTTCAAGTAGGGTTGGGGGCTGTTAGCATACTCCTGTTTTTAGTGCACACTTCCAGGTCAAAGAGAAATCTGCAGCAGAGATTTCCACAGACGAGCACGGGCCTCGATCGGCTGCTTGGTATCAGCAGCGTTGCCGTCAATGTCGACTCGCTCCTTTTTCGATACGCAGCAGCCGCGATTCGAGCGATCTTCATTCCTATATATATACTTCCCCGGCATACATATATAACTACATAAAATCGAGAATCCTGCGTCATCTTGCCCCCAAGTGCGTCGAAATTGTTACACTGTGGGGACGGACGGGAGTGACTCCCGAAGCTGTTCCACTTCTGATTCTAGTCGCTGCACACGTCTACTTACGAAGCTCCAATTCCACCTTGCCTCTGCCCGCACTTTCGCATCTGCTTCGCTCCAGGGCCAAGCAGTTCATTCTGGAGCACATGGACGAAGAGCTCCGAGCCGAGAGGGAAGATCCGACTCGGGCATCGTGTGCCAATGCGTGTAGAGTCTACCAGCCATGCACTCCTACATGCGTGAGCAGATCACACGACGAGCCAAAGAGATTGGAGTTGTTTTCGTGGGGCTTCGATCAGGATTGCTGAACTCAACAAGCTCCAGAGTCTTTCCGTGCTCGGGACCTCAGCTGAGGCAGAAGGTGTTGGATGCCATCCCCGACACCACGGCAACTGAGCTGCACGATGCTGAAAGCCACAGTATACTGGGCCCAAACTTCCCAGCTACTCACAACCATGAAAGGTACCATTTGCGTTTGCCGGCATGCTTCGACTGTATGCAGATACATATTTTGGTATGTGTACATACATAGATATATATATATATATATATTATCAGTGTGTAAGGATGTGTGGGTGTTTGTGCTGCATGTGCATCAAGTCATATCTGATAGTCTAATAGCACGTACATCGTTGCTGTTGTGGTTTGCAAGTGTCAGCTTCTTGATTGGTCACTGTCTCTCTCTCTCTCTCTCTCTCTCTTGACCTTTGCTGTTCATATCAACCGAGATCTGTGCTCTTCCGAGGTGGTGGGGCTCTTCGAGATCCACTGCTCCGAGATCCGAAAGGTATTGGCCCAGACCTCAGAGGATAGATTGCAGATGGCTCGCGGCAAAAGCTGTTTGGAGTGCCGATTAGAAGAGCCGTGTCGCTGCGCCTGAAACTCTGCATGAGCACTAGCCTGTCAGGCGAGTCGTCATCGAAAGATCGTGGAGCTGTTGGCGGCAGCCTTGGGCAAGTGCTGTTACCCTCTCGGCATCCCCGTAAATCACAAGCCCGCAGTCTCACGACAGCCTTTCCAGGAAGTAATCCCATATTCTTGAAACTGCTCAGAAGCGGGCGTGCCTGCCGCAGGAAGAGATGCTGCTGAACCGTTTCCGGGACAGTGCTCAAGAAGTCGCGGTCGCTCGGGCATGTCTCAAAAACTCGCCGCACCATGTAGCAAAGAAGCCCCCGATAGTGTCAAATGTAGCAATACCCCCAACGCTAAACGTGAATATGCCAGGACTTGTTCCAGGGTATCTTCGCCCAGCTGCGCAAGGCATCGGCATCTTCACGCCACGGTCCAACAGCTGCAGATGCCTGCCGGCCGAGCTGGAGTCACAAGCTTTGCTTGTAACAAGTGATTACCCTTGTTGTTAACTACATGTCAGGCGCCGAAGAACATCGAGCAGTCCACCGAGCTTCGCGAGTTCATGAGTTCGGTGCTCAGAAGACCCAGCGGTCAGCTCGACAAGCAGAATGTCCCCTTGCAGCAACGGAGCCTGCCGAGCACAGGTGGAGTTCCCGGCGAGGTCTCCAAGCACGGGACTTGATTTCCTTGAAGCCGATACTTGAAGTTTACCTGGCCGGCTGCTAGATCCTTGCACGGCTTGTACCGTGCACAATGCCCCTCTGAATCTTGTTGGATAGCCTGGCAAACTAACAACTTTCGGTTTCAGGCATTGGTGAGAACATCCAAGCAGATTTTCGGGGACGTTGCAGCGTGACTGACGCTATTGGTAGCTAAGTACACCTTTTGTAAGTTTTACAGTGCATGCACGACGATCTGCTCAGGGCTGCTCCAGACATCAACAAGTGCATTCAGATCTACACCGTCTTCGGCCTAGGTATTGGAGTTTCATTCTGGTGAGCCTTACCAGAAGATGTTGCATCTGTTCCGGTCATGTACACATGCACCCAGGTCCTGGAGGGCTTTGCCGTGAAACTCACGAACGCCCTCGCCTCTGCAGAAGGGTTCATCGTTGATGCAGGTGTAGAGTTGTCACACAGTTTAGACAGACACGCACACGCACGCACACGCACGCACACACAGACACACACAGACACACTCACACACACAGACACACACAGACACACACAGACACACACAGACACACACAGACACACACAGACACACACAGACACACACACACACACACACACACACATCTACGTTGGATGCGAAGACTGCGGCCTGGCAAGACTGGTTGGCACAAAACCGCGAGCAGTGTTCCCTGTCGTGGGTCTGCAAGGATGATGCCTATCAGCGCTGGCGAGTCTTCGGTTGCCCAAAGCAGACTTTCGACCTCATGGGTCAGGTGCCCTCTGTCTTGTAAGCGAGAATAGTTATTTACAAGGTGCAAGCGCGCTGCCCAAACAGTT